TTATGAATGTATTATCCTGTATTTTGTTATCCTTTCTATACCCTTTCTATCATTAGAATCAAAATGCATACCATCGTAAGTTCGTTCGGGCCTAAAGATCCTAGGTCTGATCTTGTTGAAATTCTAAGGGGTGTTTGGTTCTGTTTTTATTAGCATTCTAAATGAATCCAACAATTTTATTGAGCTTGGGGCCGTTTTTTATGAAAAATGTTGTGGAAAAGCAACAATAATTTACAAAGGTAAGAAGTTATAGCTGCTATTTGGGAGATCACCACATCTACTAATCACAACCGCGGTCACTGAGGAGAAGTGGTGATATCCGAAAAAACGGCTGAATATAATTGTTATAAGGCCATAAATAACAAAAAAAAATCTGAATGAATAATAAATTTAAGGTCAGTCAAACACACCGAAAGAAAGTCGGAGAGTCTCCTTAAAGTCGATGTTTAAAACATCGGTAAAACTTCCATCGATGTATCGTCAATTTCGCGATGTTAGTAAATTGCAAACATCGATGGCAAACATCGAAAATTGAACCGATATTATCGATGCTTCAAAAACATCGATGCATCGTTTGCATCCCTAGCTATACAACGGAATAGACATAATACATGGAATTAAAATCCAGCGGCTCCGCTGGCTTGGGCATGTCGTCCGAATGGAGACAGATGCTCTAGTCCTGTAAGTCAGATACGTATACGTTTCCGGATATTTTGCTGGCTGGTTTTTCTTAAATACAAACATATATTTACAGTTACGAATAGGCTTTTTGCAGACTCTGCATAGCTGGTAATAGTTGATTACCGTTGGCCACCGTGCCTACCCAACTTTTTTGTTCGAATAAATATTTTTTTTTTATATAAATGCATGCAAACATACTGGCAGGGTTGGCACCTCACGAAACCGTTTGCGTGACAAAAGTCCAGAATAATCGTTGGAAAAAATAAATAATCGTAACATTAGGTACAAATAGGTTATTATTAGGCATGTGTTTTTACACGCATACGTATCTGCGCTTAAAATTTGTATTGTGCTGTAAGCGACAAACTTTATGTGCGCTTATGAATAGTTGTCGACATAAAAATTACTTAGTTTTAAACGAAAATTGTCGATGCATAGATGCGTGAAAAAAAAAATACTTAAAAATTTTTACATTAAATGGAGGAGTTGAACTCTCAAAAAAGTGTCATACAGCTTTTTCGAAGTCCGAATTTCCTCCTCCCAAGTTTTCGGGGAAAATGCTACTCCTGGCAATTTATTATTGGGGGATTTTTTTCTCGGGAGAAACAAATTCCCGGAGAACAAACTCCCTGGGAGTATAAAGAATTGGCCTGATATTCCTATCTTTTGCAGTGGCGTTTTCCAAAAGCGAACTACAGTGCTTCCGTCAATAATATGTGAAAATTTAGTTTTTCTGAAAAAGTCGATAATTTGATTTCTATGAATTTTTTTATTTTTTAATAGCATAAGGCGTAGTGGGTAGCCAATTAAAAAAAAAATGAAAATCGTACCAAATTTAGTACGATCGTTGCCAAGTGCCAACTAAAATAGAATTTTATTTGCTTTTATGTATTGACAAGAATGGCAAAATCTAGTTTTATTGCAGTTTCAATCACACAATAAATTTCCATCAATATCAGATTTGAAATTGACCGTAAATAATGTTTATCTTTTAATTGTTTTTTTTTTTTTTTTTGTTTATGTTAAACCAGAAATTCCACTATGCAGATAAATGTTGCATGTGTTGAAATTCTTCCCTCATAGATACAAATATGGTATCCAAAAGAGCATTAAAAACTTCAAACTTTTTTTTATCCGTTACATATGTATGTATTGGTTTATCAACAGCCTCTCCACTCGGTTTGCGTTTAATGTTTCTTATGGCGTTTTCTTTTCTACTAAAAATTTTGCTTTTTGGGGCACATTCATAGTCAGCCTTATACTTTGTTTTGCCCGAAAACAAATTCGCCCGAAAATTGTCCATCTGCCCATAGTGAATGGAATGGTAACATTTTGTGGCAGAAAAGAAAACGCCATTAATCGCGTAAAAAAGTTACCGTTTTTGAAATCGCCACTTGCCATGATTTTGAACTTCACGTATTCTAACTCTGGAACACCCCCCTAAATTAGTCTAATCGGACATTCCATCGTTCCAGACCGATTCAAGGATTCAAACACACCGTTATTTGTAAAGAGTTAAACGCAATAAAGTACGACGATTGGAGGCAAGTGGAAATAATAGTACACCTGCACCGATTTCACTGAAACTTTACATGTGCTCTCGTTTTACTTAAAAATAGTTGCCACGCCTTCTACTCTTGTGGGCGGAAACATTAAATTTAATCCGATTTCGATCAAATTTAGTTTGTAGTCTTTATTTTATTAGAAAAACCTAAATTTAAAATATGGGGAAGATTGGATCATTATAACGTCCAAAACTCACAAAAAATATGGGTCCAGCCATTAAATGTGATGGAATTTTTGGTTAATTTTTGTTTCCTGCTTTCCACTCTCTTAATATTGGGGGTAAATACTTGCTTGTTTCCCAATATTTGGTGAGATTTTTTCATTGAAACTTTCTTTTCGCGAAATTACGCAAAAAGGAGCTGAAAATCAAAAATTAAGAAAATCAAAAATTACATATGTACATATATTTGCAAAGTCGCGCGCAAAGATCAAATTATATATTGGAAAACTACATAAAATTCTCTAAAACATTCGTCTAATTTCAAGACCTGATTATATTTAACTATACAAATATGGGTATAAACATGATACAAAAAAGAAGGTAGTTTCAATAAACAATTGCTCAATTGCAAAAAAATCGAAGCGGCGTTACCTAATTTAAGCTTTTTGGTGGAGGGGATTTTATATCCAAAATTTTGGAGTAAAAATAATATAGTTATATCAACATTTACCTTTTAAAAATAATTAATATCTTATCTTAAAAACGTTAAAATTTTACATTAAATTCGATAACTACTTGCCAAAATCCCTATTTAAGCATTAATAAAATTTTAGTGAATATATTTAAAAATTTTTTTAGTGCCATTATGTCATCTCATTATTACACAATGTAGCTAGCCAGGACTGCTATAGTTTTCTATATCGGATACGATTGTTTCTGATATAATTGAGACACTGAAATTACACATTTCGATATTGTCTTTGTCCATGACTTTCAAGTAACTTGAAATGGAATTTTCTTTGGGACCCATATGCCTATTTCAGAGAATACATATTTCATATTTCAGAGATACATATTTCAGATTCTAGTATGTTTCGACAATATCGTTGTTTCTTGGGGTGAAAAAAAGTATAAAAGAACCATTTGCTTGTTCAAATTTCGATTATAAGAACAAAATGTTTGAAAATAAACAAGAAATTAATAACAAACTTTGAGGCATTTTAGATATTGGATACGGTAGCACGAAATATCACAACCTACTTAATTGTCAGGTTGTTAATATGGCGACGAAAAAGTGACAATGAGCTACCTTCTTTTTTGTATCATGGGCACAATTATGTGTCTAACCCCTTTATTTGTAATAGAACTTGACACGCACTTTTAAAATAAACGCAGTAAGTACATGCTCAAATTTAAACTTTTTGATAAATAAATTTCCTGCAGTAAAGTCAACTTTGATGTAAGTTCCTTTCATTCGGCAAATTCTTCTTTGGATGTACAATAGACTGGGTCGAAAAAAAAAGTTGCTAATGTCCGCCCCTAAATTTAAAGATTATGTTGAGAGGGTTCTGGAAAAAATTTTTTTTTTTTTTTTTAACCCTCCGAAATACAGCCGAAATGGTTTTTTCGTTGTAACTTGGTTATTTGACGGCCGATTTTTAAAATTGATATGCCATTATTTTTGTCTTGAGAAGCTTCACTTTTCGTTCTTATGTCTTTTTAAGCTTTGAAGTCGCGTTCGCATGATAAGGGCAGAAACAAAATTTTACCCCCCCTAAAGTATATTTTTTTCCTTACCAAACGAAAGTACTTAAAAATTCAAGAAAATGTTGCCTTCAAACTATATTACTAAAATAATAAACAAAGGAGTTATAGCACTTTTAATATCACAGGTCAACATGAGTTTCAGATGTAAGTATAATAACACAGTACAACAAAAATTGATTTTTTTTATGCAACAGAGTAACCTAAATTTAAGGATTATGTTGAGAGGATTTCGAAATTTTTATTTTATTTTTTTTTTAACCCTTCGAAATACAGCCGAAAAGGTTTTTTCGTTGAAAGTTGGGTATTTGACGGCCGATTTTTAAAATTAACATGTCATCACATTTCCTTTTAAGCTATGAAGTCGTTTACCCATGGTTAGGTCAGCTAACAAAATTCGCCCCCACAAATTCCTCCAACAGTTTTCTTAGTTGGAAATTTAATCTCACTGCTTTCGTACCAATTTAGGTACATTTTTGCTACGATTTTTCCCAAATTCATACTCTTTGTTTTCGTCGCATCAGCAACCCGGGGAGTGCAAAACTGACGCTGTCAATAGCGAGCTAACCTCTTGTAATTTAATCATGCCAATAAATTTTATAAATTGTGGAAGTCAAAGTAAATAAGTGAGTCAAACCTGTTGTTTCGTATTGATAATAATAATTTATAATTAATACCATAAATTGTGCTGGTGAAATAAAATTAAAAAGTGACTTAACAGTGTGTGCAATTTAAAAATGGCTTTCGTTAAGCGCGATATTGATATTAAAATGTTACCTACGAAACGTGGTGTTATTGAATATTTTTTGTTCCTTAAATATTACGGCTCTGCAAGTGTTCCAAAATATCGAAGTCTCAATGAATATTTGCCAATAGTTATGAACACAATTTCAAAGTTGTGGCAGCAGGCAAACATCCCTATAGTTACAAGAACTACGCTCCGGAGAAACATTGAAAGCCTCCTTCAAAGTTATTACAATGTAAAAAACCATCCTTATGAATATAATGATCAGGAATGGAATAAAATATTGTTAATCGATTGGATCGATTGGAGTCAGTTTAAGATTACGGAACCCCCTTGTGTGCAGTTCTACCCAGATAGTGAACTTACAATGTTTCAATTTTCGGAAAATGAAGTGATAAATATCCCAGGTAAATATCTTCAAACTAAAAACTTCACGGGTCTTATAGTACTTTTAAATCATTTTTTTTAGAGTTCCTCTGTCATTCCCAGAATACCGAACGGTTTGTGCGTGTTGTTAGTGAGTCTGCAAGTGCTGTCACTGATGAAAAGCGCCTGGGCCACATTTTTGCAAAATTAGAAAGCCGAGACCAATATAAAAGCCTTGATTCGCTCCAAAATTTGCTTAAGTAGCAATAAATATTGTAAGTGAAATAACTTTTTTGTTGATTATTTTAGTAATATAGTTTGAAGGCAACATTTTCTTGAATTTTTAAGTACTTTCGTTTGGTAAGGAAAAAAATATGCTTTAGGGGGGGTAAAATTTTGTTTCTGCCCTTATCATGCGAACGCGACTTCAAAGCTTAAAAAGACATAAGAACGAAAAGTGAAGCTTCTCAAGACAAAAATAATGACATATCAATTTTAAAAATCGGCCGTCAAATAACCAAGTTACAACGAAAAAACCATTTCGGCTGTATTTCGGAGGGTTAAAAAAAAAAAAAAAATTTTTCCAGAACCCTCTCAACATAATCTTTAAATTTAGGGGCGGACATTAGCAACTTTTTTTTTTTGTATGGGGACCGACCCAGTCTAATGTACAACCGTTCGTCGATTCGGGCCGCTACCAAAAAACTTCATCAATCACCTCAATCCTTTGCGAGGTTGCAGCAGTTGTGCATCCCAAAGTGCAGAAGGACCTTTCTTCCATTGTGTACCTGTTTGCAAGATTTATGCTGGATTCTAGGTAGGGTTGCCAGACGTACTGCTTTTGGGAGTAAATGTACTCCTTTTTATTGCAATTTACTACCTTGTACTCCCAAAAAAAACTCCTTTTTCAAGCTATTAATATTTTATACAGGGAGTAAAATAATAACTGTTGCACAGTTTTTTTTTTTTTGAAAAATAAAAGGGATTTTTATAGATTTTGCGAAAAAAGGAGTTTGTTGTTAATGATTCACAGATTTTACTTAAACCTTATTAATTCGTTTTTAAATTTTAACCTTCATTTGGGTTTACCGGCGCTAAACACTTTGAGAGAAAAGCGCAAGTAAAAAAAGTAGTTTATTGTTAATTTTCCACATTTTACTTAAACTTTATTAATTCGTTTTTAAATTTTTACCTTCATTTGGGTTTACCAACGGGTTTGGGAGAAAAGCGCAAGCGGCACGCAAGTCATCGTCGGTAACTTTATTACATATCTTCTGTAACCATAGGCTAATTTTCCCAATTTGGGTCCGTTATATTCCGTCTTTTGTCCAACATAAGGCATCATACTCAGCAATCGAAGAGACTCGGAACTGGTGACTAAGGAGGGCATTCATTCGACCAACCCTATACAGTTTTTTTTTTTTTATACAAAGTCTAAGAAAAAATACACCTGAAAAGGACGTGCGTGCCGCATGTACTTATCTCCCAAAGCCGACAAATGCAAATAAGGATTAAAATTTTAAAACTAGTTAATAAAATTAAAGTAGAATATTTACAAAGTTAACAAAAAAATACTTTTTTTTGGAAAATCTATAAAGGACTCTTTTATTTTTCACAAAACCTGTGCGACAGTTATTATTTTACGCCCTGTACTTTGCCATTCATATTGTGGCAAACACTACTTAGTAAGCAAAGTTAAGTGTGATGGTGAAAAGATGTAAGCATGGTCGTAGCCAGGTAGGTGCAGGGCGCTCGGGTATAAAAATCAGAAAAATATTAAATTAATTATAAGGATTAAATTCAAAAAAATGGCCTTACATTCAGGAAATGTCTAGAATTATTTTGTAGAATTTAGTTGGGGAAACTTTCCTATAGGGGCGGTCATTGAAGAGGCGGTGAGCGAAGGGGCATCTCCAACCCGCCTTTTTGGAGAGGGCATGAATCGCCATTGACAAAAATGCAACCCCCGACCACCTAGGCCTTCTATGGGTCTCTAGGAACCCCTTGGAAAAATCGCCATAAATCACAATATTCCCTTGCGTCCACAGTATTTTTGCGTATAATTCCTTCCTGCGTAGGCGACCTTTAGCCGCGCTTAGGGTTTGTAGCCCTTACTACGTAGAATTCTCCTTTCTTGTTGCCGAAGGAGAGAGGAGAAACCCCTCTTCTTTTGTCAAAAGTGTATAAGATTTCATGTGGCACCTCTTCTATTAGCTAGGGTATATAAAATGTCCCGTGCAAATGAATATTCAGCATTTTTCAAGCGAAAAAACGCAAGTGAAAATTGTGACTTTTGGACATTTTTCTAAGGATTCCCTAGGGAACCATAGGGGGCCGAGGTGGTCGGGAGTAATATTTTTGTTAATGGTGGTGCATGCCCTCTCCAAAAAGGTTATTTGGAGGTCCCACGCCTACTTCCCCTTCGATCACCATCTCTTTAACGACCGCCCTTACTGAAAAGTCAACCCATTTAGTTATTTACTTATAACATTTATTTTTGCTTTGAAAAAGATTTCTAAGATATATAACGCAAATTGAAATTCATGATATGATAAATGTTATAGTTATGGACGATAGGCGGTACTCCCGATTGAACTGGCACTCAGAGTCTGGAAGTAAGTAGTACGTTAAGTGCAGCTAAGCCGTTAGTCATGTAAACTTCTTCCGCTCCACCTATTTTCCATAACGTAGTCCACATCCTTGAGGATTGCAAATACCTCAGCAGCCTGGAAGACCGAAGCATACTGGCCAATAGAAAAGTTAATCCTATCCCCATTAACTCCGATAAAGACCTCAGATCCTGACCCAGAGTCAGTTTTGGAGCCATAAGTGAATATTCGATTATGTGTGAGTCCGGGCTCAGTGCTGGTATTGAGCCAGCATTCAGCCTCAGGGAATGTCTTCAACAAGGGTAAAGGTGGCGTACTATCCTGTGACATTGAAAAGACACAAGTGCTCAGATCTCTGCCGCTAGCAATTTCCGCCTGGCCCCACTCAGTGTTATACCAGCATCCGTTTCTTTTTAGTCTGCAGGTGGTCTTTAAGGCTTCCCCACGTATGAAAACACAAAGTGACGGTAAGTGCAGCAGTGCATCAAGAGAAATGCCACGTGTTGTAGAGAAAGCTTTCGTACCGCACAAGGCATAGCTAATTATAGGTCTGATCATAGAGGTTTTCCTATGGTGACACACCCCACGTTTTACCAAAGACCAGTTTACATTGCCAAAATGCTGCGCATTTGTTCCTCGTTAGATTTCCACGATAGTTTTGTATCCAGAGTTACTTATNAAATGCCACGTGTTGTAGAGAAAGCTTTCGTACCGCACAAGGCATAGCTAATTATAGGTCTGATCATAGAGGTTTTCCTATGGTGACACACCCCACGTTTTACCAAAGACCAGTTTACATTGCCAAAATGCTGCGCATTTGTTCCTCGTTAGATTTCCACGATAGTTTTGTATCCAGAGTTACTTATAGATACTTCACTTCTGGAGAACTCTGAATTGTGACTCCTTTCATTGTGAGGGCAATGAGACCATTCAACCTTCTCCGAATCCTGGTTGCGGACTATGCTTTAATGACGAAATATCTAACAATACATCTTCTTCGGACTATTTAACAAAAAAAAAAGAGTTTTGTTATGTAAATTTATTTATTTTGTTTAAAATAAAATGAAAAACAGCTTTTTAATAAATAAATGTTTCAAAACTAGATTTTATTTTATTTCTTCATCTCTGCACATCGACATTATTCAAAGGATCTTTTAAACGCTTGAGAAAAACGTTCAAATTTGATTCTGGCAACCCTAATTCTAATTCCTTCACTACTTCAAAGATGTAACTGCCAACAGTGATGAGTGTTCCAAAAGGCGATGACTTTTCATGTGTTGCCAGCAAGTACTTTGGCTTTTCCTCATTCACCGCTAGACCAGAGGGGTTCGCTTTGAATAATTGCTTGGTTTCTAACGGCGCGTGTGAGGTCCTTGCCAATTTGAACGGAGCTGAATGTCACTTTACATATCCGTATTAATTGTGTGGCAAAGGATTGTGCGCTGGACTTGGGACCAACCATGTACATACATCAAAAAAAAAAAAAAATGGTTGTCAACCATATTGAAAAAAAAAATTTGGTTCTGCTGATATGTGCGAAAGTTTCATGAAACTCTTTGAAGAAAAAACGCGCTTTTTTGCAATTATTTATCAAAGAAAGACGAAGATTATGGAAAACAATTTGGAAAGGATGCTAAAATATTTAGATCTGAAAACTAGCGTTTCTTGCTGATGAAGTTCTTTTCGAAATCAAAAATCCAACTGTGTCGACCAGCAGTCGGATTCTAACTTTCGCTGTCGCTAAAATGCTAAAATATCTAAAAATTGCGGTTCTGTCCTCCTTTTCGCTGCAAACAGTTTAGCCTAAATTTTTTGGTGATAAATAGTGAAAATGGAAGTATGTGATAGCAAAAAAAAAAATAGCAGTCTCAATTTGGATTACATTTCGTCTCCTGTACGTAGCCCATGGCTATGTTGCAAAGATACTTGCGCCGATTCTCAATGACCATTGATGAGCAGCCTTCGCAAAAAGGCAATTCCTTGAGAGAATTTACGGATTGAAATTTCGAAATTTTTTACTCAAAATGAATAGAGCTTTGAACATTCTTTTCACAAATTAGTTTCAAAAACGTTCGTATTCTTTTCAGGAAGTTTTGGTAATTGTGTCACAATGCAGCATTTGCATTCTGAAAATAGATAATATCGGTATAGAATTTGGGAATACTAAAACGAAAAGTCTATTTCAAATAATGCAATATTTTAGCTACTATTAATTTCGCACAGAAAAAGTAATCATTTGACCTAATGTGCATGGGTGCGAATGCCGAAAAATTAGCTTCAGTGCGATGGATTGTTCCCTTCGTTCTGACGATGAATTTCAAAGTTTTTTAGTTTTACTATCATACCTAAATACTCATGAAATAGTTAGTCTTGTGTTCGATAATACGCGTTTCCGGGATATGACTGGCATAAAGTATTACAGAATGTAGATATTTATCGGCAGAAGTGAGAGAACCAAGAATCAACTACATAGTTACTTGGTAGTAAGTACAAGGTCACATTAAGTGAAACGTATTTGCATGGATAGTAATCGTAGCCGTATGATGATGTTGGAAGCTATTTGAACAGCGAATTTAGCCAGGACTCGAATCACGACATCCGCGATGGAATCATATTCGATTCGAAATTTTTGTTTGAAATTACGGCATCCGGTAGCGAGTTCGCTTTTCCATTTTAAATTGTATTGGAGAGAAAAATCGGCTGTCATGTTATTTCATTCAATTCGAATCGAGTTTCGTTTGAGTAAAGGATGCCGTTATTCGAACCCATCAGATTTTCTAATCAGGATTTTTCTTAGACAGTCCTTAGATGGCTATTTAGAATGCTTTAAGAATGAAATTATGAAAAGGTGGCAAAAAGTTAAGTCGATTAGAAATTCAATTGGTGGAAAGTGCATTAGTCAGTGCATCCCCTTAACTGGCAGAGCTTTTGAAACTTTGAAAAGTGCATGCCTGTGCTTATTTCGTACACAAGTATATTTAGTATGCTTTTGCAATTACTCTTGCTTATCTGACAGTGCATCCATCATTGATCTAGTGGCTCGCTATTTTGTGCGCATTCACTACATGCGATGTTTCGGTTCGATGGGAAATACAATACCAATTAATAGTAGAACGTTAATTATTTTATTACATATATAAATTACATAAAAGTAAGAAGCATTTATGAAATAAAAACTATTTTATGCAACAAATCAATAAGCTATTTTTTGAATAAGCGTAAAAATAAAAAAAAATAATAATAATAATTGGCCAATAATGAAATGGGACGATTTCGGTGCTGGCTGCATTGGCGGTGAGTAAAATATTGGACTCTTTTGTGCAAAAAAATGCAGTACACGTTCCATCATTCATATAGATATGTTTATTGCGATCCACCAATTTGTTCACCGTTAGTTAAAATGTGATGCAATGTAAGTTCACTTGCAACATATGCATACATACATATGTATGTATGTACAGTCCGTCTATTAGAAGCGTGCCCGCAACATCTTGGAAAGTACATATTTGATTAATTCGCTACAGACAAAGTGCATTTTTAAATTTTTAATTTTTAATTGTTTTTATTCATCTTATGCTTCATATATTCATAGTACTATGAAATTAATTAATTTTTAATGCAATGTTATTAGTAAGGTGCATAGTGTGTTAAAACTGTTTCAGCTTTACGCACGGATAAGTCTGCTTACGCCTGAAAGAGAAGTTGAGACGACGTTTATACGCGGTATAGCGGCTTAACCCACTATTTCACAAACACCTTCGACTTCTTGAAGTACTATTCTACAGTTGCTCGTGACATTTTTGGTCATTGAGGGTGTGAACAGGGCAACATCGCTTCAAATTGTCTTTCATCTGCGGAACTCATTTTATTAAAACGTTGTACTCTTTGGTAATTTCTCACGAAACAAGTGAATTTCACAGTCTAATTTTTTTTTTTTATTGTAACGGCCTAGTGTGATAAAATTTTGCCGGCCACGTTTCTATAAGACAGACTGTAGGTAAATACAAAATATGTACACAGTAAACAGATAAAAAATTGTCTAGCCTCATAAAGAGATCCATTGCCTCTGCACGTGTTCGGACATACATTTGTATATATGTACATACATTCTATATTCGTATCTTCCGCCTTCGAGTTTGTTCAAGTTCATGCCTGGCGCCCCTGATCTTTTGCAGTATTTTTGGCATTTGAAATAAAAACCTACTTTCACTGAAGCACACTTGTAATGCATATTTACATACATGCACACAAATGTATGTTTGTATGTACACACATGCATGCAATATATACATATATATATATATATGCACATTCGTACATCACTTTCATTCATACAAATATTTGCTAATTAACAAATGGCAGAAGCGAATAAACAAACTTTTTTTTCCTTTTTTGAACAGGTGCTAGAATTTGAAGTTATTTTTGCTTAGCACGAATTTATGCAAGGATGTTTTTTTTTTAATAACTATGCATTTTTTTTTATACATATTAAGATAATACTTACAAAAAACAAAGCACGGAATATATCTGAAACAAAACTGTAGGTTGTAGGTAAGGTTTAGTACCAAAAAAACGGTATTTTCGACTCTATTATAGAATGACTATTTGATTTATTTATTTATACAAATGAAATATGTTTTATGGGCAAGCGCAATGTGTATATCAAATTGGGTACAGATTGGTGGGAATTACTAAATTGTTTTTGGAGATGCACTATGGTTGCAATGTGTCGCAACTCTGCATATAAAAACAGTTTGAATACCGCAGTTTCCAAACATTGTATTGATACGTATTGGAAGTCAGCCATATTTTAATACTCCGTCTGGCAGATCGTATACCGTTTACTTCGTGAAAGCAGGAAATAAAATAAAGTTTCAAACTATCCCACTGCTCAACTATTATTAACACAATGCTTTCTTGTGAAAGTCATCGTGTTTGAGATATGCACAAGATTTTGTAGGGTTTTACCGAACAGTAGTCCTGAAATTCCTTCAGTTCATGTATCCTCTTTGGACTGTGGGAAAATAAACTATATATGTTGCGGCACAGTGTCTCAATGCAATTGAGATGAATGAATGAAGTGAGTGGCATGTGCACTTTATATAAAATAAATCGGTTTCTGCACTCAGAAATGTTTTCAGTCCGGTTTCTTATTTTTAAAGGCAGGATTGCCAAATGTTAAATAAATCGGTTTCAGCCCGCCCATCAGTGGCTCCATCAATGGCCAAACCAATTAGGTTTTCTTATTTTTAAAGGCCGGATTGGCAAATGTTTAAAAGGTACAATTGGCAAATATTTATATGCAAACGAAGTTTGAAATATATATTTTTATAATTAAAAATTTAAAAACTTAATTCAACTATCCGACCAAAATCTTATTTTGCCTACCAACCTACCAAATGAAAAAGAAGCGATCAAATTTGGTCGGAAAAGACGAATAGTGGCAATACTGTTCGGAGCTTTTCATCTATCAAATTGAAATATTCGTGATTCTGAGGAAAATTAAATAAAAATTACAATTAAAAATAAAATTTGAGTTAAATTTCAATTTAAAAATTTCGTTAAAACCGGTTGTTGTTCTTAAACCCTCGCTTAGCATGTTTCTAAATTTCAGTATCAATATCAAAGCATACATTTAGGAAGCATTCTCCTCTCTATATGTACATATTTTGGCATTTGTAAAAAAAATATGTTTACCTATTTATAGAAGGTATCGTAGATCACCCCGTCCACCCCTTACATTGCATTACCACCTCTAAAATTGAGGGAAATTTTTTTTTATTGAAAAACGCAAAAGTATGACCTGCCAAATAAGGGATGCTTTAGCTTTTGGTAGTATTATCGACTTCCGGTTTCGGCCTGAAGTGGGTTAAACTGACGGGAAGTGCATTTTTTTTTTAAATTACACATACATAAATGTTTACACAGATTCGGATTCTGAGGGTAAAAATACGTATCTTTTGTTTGAAACTTTTTTTCTGCCTTCTACAACCTCTAAATGACCTTCGAAGTACAACTCGCCCGGCTCTTCTGAAATGAGCGAAAATGTTTTTATTGGAAAACGAGACGAAAAAAAATTAAATTACCAAGTCGAGGATGCTCTATCTTCCGGTCGAAATCGGAAGTCGGTTTGACAGACCGGAAGTCAATTGTTTTAACCAGAAGTCCATTCTAGAAAAGAATCCTAATCTGTGGTGAAAACACGTATAACAGTTTGGCAACGTATTTTGCTGGGAATGAACTTTTTGACTAATATCGCGACAGTTTATTTATAGCAATTCCATTATATATGTGCATATAAGAAAACTTTGTAATGCATTTTGCGCCTTCATTTTCATCTAAATTTTAACGTGAACCAGCTGATTGCCATCTCTACCGATCAAGTTACTTGGCGTTTAGCGTTTTCGTTACTTTACACAACCAAAATATGTGTAAAACTACCAACTAACGAAGCAACGAGCTTGGTGGGAAGACCGCCATTGTAAATATTGTGAAAAATATTATCTACTTGTTGAATTTTTCATTTTATTTTTTTTTTTGGTCGCTGTACTTGCATAAATATGAATTTAAGAGTTAAATACAAATTAAATTAATAGCTACAGCTATCCTTGTTTTTAGATCCATAAGCATTATTGCAGAATTTCTATTTAAATATAAAAATTATTTATGTACGTACATATACAGAAATATTTTACATACATATATCGTAGGCGCATGTGGAGTACTCATCGGCCATCCTCTGGACACTATTAAAACATGGCAACAGGCATCAAACTCATCCGTTCCAAGCGCTGTGCGACAAATTTATAATCGAAATAATGGCGTAAGTGTTTAAGTATTTACATACTTTTAATACAAACATATCGTTCAAATTCAAATATAAAAGACTTCAATTCAAATAAACTCTTTAAAGTTAAATGGCTTTTACAGAGGGATGCTATTTCCTTTTGTCACCACCGGTGCAATTAACTCCATTCTCTTCGGCATCTATGGCAACCATTTAAGGCAATTGCGACGGGTCTGCCACAGTGATTACCAACGTGAACAGTTGGAATACCAGAATATGTTCATTGCTGGATCCATCGCTGGCTTTGTGCAGTCCTTTATTGCATGCCCCATTGAGTTGATTAAAGTTAGATTGCAGACACATTGCTGTGAGTAATTGATTAAAACCATATTTGCTCGCCCACGTACACACCTAGTTATTTTACTCACATGTAGATTACAACGAATACATTTTCGGGCAACGGCGCACTCCCTGGGGCGTTTTTAGAAAAGTCATAAAAGTGGATGGCGTATCTGGCTTGTATAGAGGTTTACTACCAATGATGTGCCGGTAAGTAGCACGATCCATGAACATTTCTTTT